AATAAAAAGGGGATGAATTTTTATGGAGAACCCAATTCGATATATAAGAAAACCTAATTCATTAAAGGGGCATATTTTTCGTGGCATGTTTAAAGAAGGAACTTTTATACTTTACGATTTGTAGCTTTCGTTTGCTTTAAACTTCAAGTGGACATAAGTAGTCCAAATAAAAAGAAAATTATACTTTAATTTAAAGCATTCTAAAATTTATTAAATGATATTAACAAAAAATATAGTAGAGAGACTAAATCCAGTCTTTCCGATAAGAGTAACAGTGTCATTTCATAAAACCCACCACCTCTCGTCCCTAGTAACCATGGTTTTGGATAGGGCCCTTCAAATTTCTTCGCTTCACCGGTAAAGGCCAAAGCTTGATGATATTAAGGCTCTCAGAGAAATGGCTTCTTCAATATTATCTTTACAAACAAGGTTAGCTCCCCAAGAAATTTTCCTTTTAATGGCTATTCAAACACAATTGCTCGTTAGAAGATGGGCTTCCTTCTTGTTTTTTTTAGCAGATTTATCTTTGTTTTAATGTTGTTTTTAGTTGAATTTTGACTTTTAAATTGTTAATGGAGTTGCGTTTTGAAATGGGTTTGTTCTATTCACTTCAATTTTTAGTGTGGAATCTACTACTTTGTGCAGCTATGGTGCTCTAGAATTTGTATTTGAATTCCTTTTAGTGCGCTTGATTGAATTCAGCTTCTGGGATTCCTTTTGAGCTATAGTTACGCATGGATTGTAATTTCTTTGTAATTTGATGGGATTGCTTTCTTCTGGTGTTTCAGCAATTTGAGGTCTGCGTTTTTGGGAGAGAAGAATGGGGTCGGTGTTCCGAACGTTCCGACGTCTCGCGTTTCCGTGGTGAGGAAAGCTGTTGAGTGTAAGGAATCAAGGATAGGGAAGCAGCCGATACCGATTCCGGCCAATGTGACGTTAACGTTGGAGGGTCAGGACTTGAAAGTAAAGGGTCCTTTGGGGGAAATGGCATTGACCTATCCGTGGGACGTAAGGGTCCATCGCGAGGAATCCGGTGCCCTAAGGGTCCGAAGGGTCCGAAAGTCGGTTGAGACTAGGAGAGCCAACCAAATGCATGGACTTTTCAGGTAATTGGTCCTGCTTTTTAGCTTTAAGTTGCTTTCTTAATTTGTTCTGCATTTGATGATCATGTATTCATTGTTTAGTTCTTCATAGTTCTTCTCTTAATACCCTCATACGGGTTTTACCGAGGGACTTTAGTGATTATGCGAATCAAGATCAAGTTTGAACATTTTCCATGCTTAGAATTAGCAATCTATGATCAATAATTCGATCTTATCCTCTAATGATCGATGTATTTGGTTATATGCATTTTCTAATCTTTACCGTCAAAGGTTAGGAACGAATGTCCGGAATTCCTTCTGATTTTGGACCTTATAATCTGGCCATTGTCGTTTATTTTACTTTACAACAAGTACAATTGATTTCGGGCTTGCTAGAATGCTCATATGCCTAATTTACACTCGCTTTTGTGACGTAAGATCCTCCAATGCTTTTGGTGGTTCTTTAAGGACATTTTGTGGATATGTACCGTCAAAAACGATTTAGATCGTATACATGGATGCATACCAGGGTCCCCTTTGATTGATGACCCTGTTCGTAAAACGGTTCTCGTGAACCGTCTTCGAGCTTACATGTCAACAAGTTATATTACGGAAGTCAGACTTGGAAAGTCTTGTAATCGTTGTTAATTTCTGACTTAACAATGCTTCAATCGTGATTCTACCTAAATAAACCAAATTTCCAGGACTCTTACTGACAACATGGTGGTGGGAGTATCAAAGGGTTTCGAGAAGAGACTTCAACTAGTCGGTGTCGGATATCGTGCAACGGTAGAAGGAAAAGACTTAGTGTTGAATCTCGGCTTCTCCCATCCGGTCAGGATGGCAATCCCCGACGACCTTAAAGTGAAGGTGGAAGAAAACACGAGAATCGTCGTAAGCGGGTACGACAAGAGCAACATCGGTCAATTCGCTGCATCGGTTAGAAAATGGAGACCCCCGGAACCGTATAAAGGAAAGGGTGTGAAATACGCGGACGAGGTCGTTAGACGAAAGGAGGGCAAAGCAGGGAAGAAGAAGTAAATTGTGATATCTTGTTTATCATTTATTCTTTTTTTTTTAAACTATGAATCTGTAATGAAACAAATACTCTCATGGTGCTACTGGAAATCTATTCCATCAATGAAGACTTGATTTTTTTTGCCCGTTATACATTATTTTCTACCACATTCCCAAAAACGTCGTTGGTTCAATTATACCATTGGGTCGTTAAGTGATAAACGACATTGATATTGACGATAATTTCTATAAATGTTCGTTAAGTGATAAACGACATTGATATTGACGATAATTTCTATAAATGTGATGATGTGGTTAAAACGTTTGCATTTCTCTCAATTTTTTCTTCGAATTGATTTTTCAAGAAATTTATTTAAAATCGACGAAAATCTCTAAAATTTCGACAGGCTAATACTTTGCTTTCTTCCGATGATCATTCGATGATGTTATTGTTAAAGTATACTGTTTGTTTTCTCGAAATAATTTGTCATTGTTCATATTTCAAACAAAACCTAAACACTTGAATTCAAGAAAGCCTTCAAACCTCAAAATGGTAAAAAATATTTATTTTGTGAGTTTAAAGAAATTATATAAAAATTTGAGGTATTTTTTTAATTTATTTTTTAGTTTTAAAGAAATTATACATAAAAAAATTAAACTGATAAAGTGATAGAAGATGATAAGACGAATTTATCGATGTACATGGTGACCGAAAAAAGACATAAAAAATTACAGTTTCTAGTGACAACTAAAATTTAGTAAGAAAATCTTCAACTTCTATGAAAAAGAAGATGAAATAGAATGTTTTTCTTTTATTTTTTTTATTAAACTAAGGTGATTACGGAATAATAATTATTCTAAATACTCTCAGCTATTTGATAATGAACGCTCAATCACCCTACTATAGCCGTTGTTGTTCGAACCCGTGATTTTAAGAACAACAACGATTCTTTTAACCGCTGAAGTAAGTTAGTTCGTACATATTTTCTTTTCTTCTAATTTCTACGTTAGCATTATATCAACATCAAATTACCATGTCATGTGATTGTCAAAAAGTTAACAGTCTAATTATATAATTACATGCAAAATTAAAATTTAATACTTCAATTATTTAGTGATATTATCTATATAAAAAGTTAAATAATATATATATATATATCAAGGAGCTAAACTATTTGAATTTTCGAGTTAGATCAAACATTCTATTGCAAAACAGGTTCTTTACCATATACACTGCTAATATCGTTAATTCCGATTCAATCCGAAAATCCGTATCATTATTTAAAAATTATTACTTATTACATAAACATCAATGTGTAGAGTGTAATAGTATAATGTGGCATAAACGATAGTTAATGTTTACGAGATAAATAACAAGTTTAATAACAGTTTTTATTAACCTCGGAGTGTGATTAGTATATATTGATAGTTTGAGAATGAAATTGTTGGAATGTCCAAAAGCTTGGGGATTAATTTAGAATAAGGATCATAGTTTAATAATGAGATTGAATGTTAAAAAGTTTGAGAACTAATTTAAAATAAGAGTATAGTTTAAAGATAAAATTAAAATATTAAAAAATTTGGGGACTAATTCAGATGATGATCATAATTAGAGGATGTATAATGTAATTAGCTCATATATTTATCCATCAATTTGCATTGTTGATAATGCAATATCCTAGGAAGCGTTAAATCTCAAAATTGTTCATAATATAAGGACTAAAAAGAATAATTTTACCTTAGATAGATAATACCTTGGCGCCAAGCTTAAAGTAAAAGCCGAGACGAGAGCCCAATGGAATGCCGACAATGTAATAATAGCCGACAATGTAATAATAGCCGACATTGACATAAGCAACAAAAGCTTGCCATCCACACCCAACACGTACACCTTCAAATAAAAAAAAGGGGTAAATTACATGTTAATTTTAATCGATTTTAGTATTTTTTTTTCTTCCAAAATCATACTTAAAATTATGTTCTTGTTTCTTTTTAATACCTCAATTCAAAATTTAACGATGAATTTTGAAGAAAATAAAAGTTTAGACACTAAAACGAACTGAAACTGATAGTTTAGATACTAAACACGTTAAGTTTTTTTAAAGGTGAAACACTAAAATGAAATAAAAAATAAAAGCTTAATACAAAAATAAGTGTTCAAATTATGTTTCGAAAAATATTTTGGTGCCTAAAGAATTAATCGTTAAAAATATGTGCTTAATGTTCCAAACGTTATATTTTTAGGTGCCTTGATGTTAACTGTCGTTAAATATTTTCGTTAAGTGACATGTGTCATATTCTGATAATTTTGAGAAAATTTTCTAAAAATAAAAAATAAAAATATTTTTTTGTAAAAAAAAAAGTACCCCGCCTACTGTGACTATCACCGCAACAATCATCGGTACCGATGTCGACCCCCGATTAAACTCCGTTGGTCTTTCGTCCTAATATGCCACCGTTTACTGTAGAGAAGTATTCAAAGTTTCATCAATTTTTAAACCGTTTACTGTAGAGAAGCATTCAAAATTTCATCAATTTTTAAACTTCATCAATTTTTTAAACCATAGCCTTTAAATTTTTTCTCGATTTCGGTCGATTCCGATGTCCACAAGTCACATCGCTGCCACCATTCAAACCACCGTGCAATTACGGTCAAAATCTAACCATTCGGCGACGATGATGATGGCTGACAACCGTTTGGGTTAGGAAGTTGAAATTGGAAATTAGGGATTTAAATTTTGGGTTTTAGATTTAAGGATTTTTTGTCACGATAAGGACGACGATTGATCAATGGGTGGGTGGCGACATGTGGGTGACCGTTCGACGATGACGATGGTGGCCGAAGATGACTGACAACATTTGATATTAGGGTGGAAGCCTAATTTTATTTTTTTCCCCCAAAAAAATGATCACCAACTCTTGAAATTTTCGTTTTTTTTATCTGGGTATTTTTTTTATTTTGTTGAAATTCTCAGACTTAATAGTGCTGTTGTTTTTCCCATGAAAAGGAAAAAAAAATTGAACACACAATTTAGAGAAAAGACCGATTAGTTAATTAGGGTTTAGAATAAGTGAGAGTTTATTATGTTTTATCTGTGATGCTAAGAGTGTATGCTTTTATTTCTTCTTATTTTTGTGTATCAGAGAGGATGCAGGCTGAAGCTGCTCGCATTCGGGAAAAGTATCCGGACAGAATACCGGTATGTAATGCCCGGCTGCTGCGCCTTTTTATGAAACCCGTGTTTGTTTCTTGCCATGATTAGAATGTTACTTTGGTGTTTGTTGAAAGGGCGGAGAAGAGCGATGTACCTGAATTTGATAAGAAAAAAGTCGGTTACTATCTCTGCACGTTCGCTTTAAGAGCTTTAGTTACTATCAATTGTAACCGGACTGTATGTGTGATGTGCGTCGTCGATATGTTTTACATCTGTTGAAATATGTAATGCTGCTGCAGACTATTAGATAATCGATACTTTGAAATGCATTATGTTCAAATAGTTCCATTGCTGACAGTCTGAATTTGTTTTCTTTCTCTTGTATTTGAGGTTTTGATTTTGTTTCTTGAACTCTCTTAACTTTCGAGTTGTGGATACCCGTGGATACTGACTAATGTGGATCCAGGATTCCTTTTCGAAGTAGTAGATAACCGTTTCTAGATTTGGTTTTCGAGAAAGGGAAGATGTCATAGAGAGGATCTTATTAGTGCATGAATTCATATGCTTTCGATGTGATCTGTAATGTCGCCTAGTCTCTGTTCTGTTACCGACTCTTCGTTGATATATTTTTATTCAATATGATGTTGCTGTTATGTTCTGCCAAATAAAGCGTATTTTGGAACTAAAGGTTCTCCCCTGGGATTAATGCACAGATATCTGGTTCCTGCTGATGTAAACGTTGGCCAATTTGTCTACGTTGTTCGGAAGAGGATTAAGCTGAGTCCTGAGAAGGCTATACTCATTTTTGTGAAGAACATCCTACCCCCAACTGGTGAGTCGAACCTCGTAGATCCCCCACTCTTGTTTAATTTCGACGTTTACCATTTTGCTAAACGGTGTAACGCCAACATCGGTGCAGCTGCTATGTTGTCTTCCATATACGAGGAAAACAAGGACGAAGATGGTTTCCTCTACATGACTTACAACAACAAGAACACGTTCGGGATCATCAAGGAATACGATCAAGGGATGTCCGTGTGAGTATGGCTTGCAGAAAAAGATGAAAAAGGTTACTTCTAAGATTCAAATCTTGAATCATGTGTTGCTCTGTGTTATATTTGTAACACCCCAATTTTATTGTTTTAATTAATTTTGGGGACCAAATCGTAAAACTTTAAACCTTGGGGTCAGTTTTAAAGCTTCTGAAAGTTCAGTGACCTAGCTCCAGATTTAACCTTTCTTTGTCTGCAAAGAAAAAAATAATAATAATATGTGTTTGTAGTTGGGATTGAACCTTTGACCGGTTAGACCATCACCCTACTTAACCTTGTAGCTTAGACCATTGTAGATGATAGGTTTAGGTAAAAATGTTTTATTTCTTTAGTTTGGGATTTAAATCCCTAAAATTTGAAACCAAATTCCAAAATCATGAAAACCCTTAAGTTCTCACCAACTCCAATCGTCGTCCCTTTGTTCACGATCTTCGACCAGCGGTGGTGTGCACCGCCACCACCACCTTTTCTCCGTCGTCCCTCAGTCAAAAGTCCTTTGTCAATTTTTTTTATAATTGTCGTCGATCATCGTGAAAGGCATCGGGAAAGTTACATTGAAACATAAGAACCCCCGCTTTTGTTTCTGCTCGATTCCGGCCACTATAGGCGACTGTAGGCTATATCGTTGCCACCAATCGACTCACCGTCCTACATCGAGCAAAACTCGATCGACCTCTTTTCATCTAAGGCTGTCGTTCGTCGAAAATTCACTGACAAAGCCTTAACAGAGAACTAAACCCACCGTCGTTGTTTTTCGTGTTTTCACGTCGATCCTGTCGTCAGTTGACCTCACCAACATCGTCATCGGGTTCCCCACTCTGTTCCGACCATAACCCAATTGGTATCATTCCCTTTCGTTGTGTCCTCTGTCGTCCGCCATTAAGGGTAAGAGTTTGTTCTTTCTTCGTTAATTTCTATCGATTTTGGTTGATTTATGGATTGATTTGAGTTGTTTTTGGTGAATGGTGTCGTTGGAAAGAATCGGTTGCCCCTCCCCCTCCCTGTCGTCTCCGCACGTGCCGCCACGTGTGGGCATTATTTCTGTTGAGTCTTCTAAATAACTGAGTCAACTCGCTTGAGTCACTGAGTTAACTCGCTGAGTTGAACCGCCCGAACCGGTCTGTTTTTTTAGCGAAGACAAGCTGTTAAAGTCTTTGAGCCTAACTGTTTAAGCTTCTAAGCCGAGTCGTTTGATCGAGCTTAGCAGCGTTAACCAAGCCATTGACCAGTTGACTTTGTCTTTGACCTGTTTACGTCAACTTTTTAGAAAAAATCATATTTTATATTTTTCAACGTCATGAGCCCGAATCCGAAGTATGTTTCATCAAATTCGAATCTTGTAAGTTTTTTTTTTCAGTGTTTCATCTTTCAATTCGAATAGTGTTCCCGATTAAGTTCCGTTTCTGACGTAAATTCTTTTTCTATGTCATAGAGATATTATGGGACGTCGAAATCAAGTGTGAGAGCATTCGAATGGAGTTCAAATGATCGATTGTTTGTTGCTAAAAAATCGAGGTAATATTTTACTTCCCTATGCACGCTTAGGATATACTGAATACGTTATAAAGTTGATATACTGAATAAGACTCGGATAACTTGCATAAAAAATTAAAAGACCGATAATAAAGAAATTCAAGATTAACAATCGACGTTAGGACCTGTAAATTTTGGTTATTTTCTTTTAAGGTTGATTGCAAAAAATACTTGGATAAGAAATTACAAAAATAACTCTATGGAGTAAAATTACGAAAATGCCCTCATGCTGCAAAAAGACCAAGATTGCCCATGATAGTGAAAAATAACAATGAAATGACATAATTGACCAAATTACTAGAAAAAGTTCATATGTTTGGATTGAAAAAATTACCAAAAATGTTCTCGAGCTGCAAAAAACCTTTAACTCTAAAGGACCAAAGTAACCTCGAGTACGGAAATGACCCAAATATCCTCGTGACCTAGAAATAAGTTAATGTTATTGGATAATTCTAGAAATATCGAGAAATCTAATTATTGTATCGCCCCTCAAGGTTATGGAGACGACCCAAGTACGTCGATAATCTTAATGACTGTTGCAACACATAAATAACACAAAAACCATCGAAATACGTATAATTCCTCAAGATTTGTTCAACGATGGTTCTGAAGATGATCAGTTCGATTATGTTGTTAGTATTAAAGTGTGAATATTCTTGAAGTGAATCCATTCGAGTGGTTGACAAGTATCGCAGTGTTGGGATTTGTTCAGCTCGAGTTGACCTGATTTCCTGACAAATCGACATGAATCTTAATACCATAAATCATCGTTTCACCCTTATTGGATTAAGTTGCTAAGAATCCACTAGAAATCAAAGTTTCTGAAATACCGCTGATAGCCTAAATAATGGAATCGCTCTGGTTATATCTGAAATCTTAATTTATTCTGATAAAGGTTCCTAAATATCTTTCTAATACACCTAAAATCCTAAATGGTCCTGAAGCATCAATCTCTGAGTGTCTGTTTAGATCTGTTAGCAATTAAACCCTTTTAATAGGGACATCGATCCTGAAATCTGATCAATTTTGAGTAAGTTCATATTTTTCTTTTCCTGATAATTTCCAAGTGCCTTCAAAAAATACTAGGATCCTCTAGTGTGTTCCTTATGGACAAAAAATGTTTTCTCTGATTTATATAAAGTACGATTTTCATTATTTTCATTATGATTATTGGTTTCTGATCTCCGGTTTATGATTTCTTATTTATGACATAAGGTACAATTAGCTCCTGATTTTTTTATATTATTGTCTGCTATATGATCTGTTTTATTGGGGTATTGTCTGGGTAGGTGTCTATAGACTCTGAGGTTCAGCTAATTGGTAAATCCTTTTTGTTCTGATCATTCATATTGGACTCCTAGATCATAAGGGTCTAGGGTAAGTCCTTATGGATTCTTGTTCTGGGGTACTGCATTTGGTGTACGGTTGCAGGGAAACTCTTTATTTTAAATAAAAACCCAACTTCTGATTTATGATATTACTGGTTTTATTTGAAACTGTTTTATTGGGGGTATTGATTGGATAGGATTATGGAGTCTCTAAGGTTCAACTAGGTGGTAAATCCTTTCTATTCTCATCATTCATATCGAACTCCTAGATCCTATGGGTCTAGGATAAGTCCTTATGGATGATGTCCTGGTGAATTTCACATGGAGTATTCCGATGGTGGGTACTACATTGATTTTAAAAACATGTTTTACTAAAATAAATTATTATTGTTTATAAACTATGATTTCATTTATTCTGGTTTTGAGGGAACACAGTAGACATCTATTTCAATCTCCTGAACATGGTCTTCTGAATGTTTCCTCTTAACTATAAGCTTCTTATCTTTTACCTGAAGAAATATCAGTGGAACCTTCGTTCATCTTGAAAACTTGTAGGTGTCTGAATCAATAAGAAAATATTTATGCTTTTCGTTTATCTATTTGTCCTTCAGCATCATCTGGTAGTTATGTATTACTAAGTTTCCCAATGCTCGCTCTTTTACTTACCATTTTAGGTTAACGAGTATATCATGTAAAGTTATCGGCATCAATATTAGGAGTTCCTTCGACATTGTTGGCGAGTACGACACCTGTATAATTAGGGGGCATGTAGGTCACATTTGATTTTTATACAGAGTTTGGAACTTGTATGATTTTAATTCTGTTTGTAATATGTGAATGATTTTCTGGACTTGTATTTTAATTATAAATTATTTTATGATTTTACATGTTTTAACTTCTCATGGATTTTTACTGTGGGTCACTTCGGCGACCCTAATGTGACACCTCGAATCGGATTACCCGTATCGGTTTGAGCGTGTTTCATTATTTGCATATTATTAGCTCGACTTTTTTTTGCAAATGTCCTTGTTTGACCATTTCTATGAAGATGGCAACCTTTATATATGAACTTTGCTTTGATGTGGTTGTGTGTTGTGTTTAGCTTTTTATGCAATTTTTTTGTTGTCATTCCGGTTCCCAAGGCTTTGCCTTGACTAAACCAGATCGACTCGGGTCGCACATCTGGCTTTGGTAGGTATATCTCCCAGCGAGGATTTTCAGCGTACACCTGGCTTTTTATGCAATTTTTAGTACATTACCTATATTACTCAAATTTCTTCCTATTATTAAGTGTTTAAACATGTTTGATTTTTATTTTTTCTTATATGATATACTGACTACTATCTTCTCATTTTTATTTTAGTGACTAAAGTCTAAATTGTTTTAGTTTAATCACTTAACTTTTGAATCGCTCCTATTTTAATCATTCTATTGTCAAATAATTAATAATGTCACAAAGTTATGACACGGTAACTAATACCAAGAATGACATAATTTTTAGTTTAAATAAAAAGTTAATTTTTCCTCTCATTTTCCTATATCTTTTTTTTCTTTCTTTTCCTACATATTTTTCTCCTCAATCTCAATAAACCCAAATTTCGATCATCATGGTGGTTATCATTTTTAACATTGTTGACGTCGAAGGTCGATGACTCTCAAAATTAGAAACTATTGTCCCCCCTCTCTAGCGGTCCCCAACCCAAGCCCTCAACTGTCGACCTTCATGCTGCCATCTAGGGATGGACCGAGTGGAGTGTTGGTGTGCGATCGCACCGTTGAAATTTGAATTTTTTTATATTTTAGGTTTTTGTTATATATTTTTGATTGATTATCAAATTTCACGCTTTTAAAATTTTATAACTTCACACTCTACAATTTGTAATATAACTTCTTGAATTCGTATCTCTGGACCGAGTGGAGTGTTGGTGTGCGATCGCACCGTTGAAATTTGAATTTTTTTATATTTTAGGATTTTGTTATATATTTTTGATTGATTATCAAATTTCACGCTTTTAAAATTTTATAACTTCACACCCTACAATTTGTAATATAACTTCTTGAATTCGTATCTCCTGGCATAAATTTTTGCGTTCGTCCTTGCTACCTCCGTCATGTTCTTACCATCATCTAGGGACGGAGCCAGGATTACATATAGACAGGGGCCGAAATATTAAATTTTTTAAATAAAATACAATGACTTATTAGGTATTTAAACTTATAATTAAGAATTTGTCTAATAATTAAATTTATAATGACCTAAATTGTTGTTAGACCAATAAATTGAGAACATTGGATTATCATTCTTTTTTTTTTCTTTGTATAACCATCGGTTTCCGATCTATCGATCGACTAATTCGGATCGGGTATTGCAGAGACGAGGGCGACCCTCCCAACCCAGTTTGCTCCATTCACAATTGCCAAGATTCGAACCCCTAACATTGCTTAAGGGATTTAATGTCTTATCCCGCTAGATCAACCGGTTGTTGGTATTGGATTATCATTCTTTAATTCGACCCCTACTTGATTAAATATCTAATAAATTCTTATATTTCTTAATTTGAATACTTATTTTTATATGGACTAAAAACTATCAGATCAAAATCTATCGAACATAAAATTATTTTATAGGGCGCCAAGACCCCAAGGGAGCTCCACCCCTGCCATCGTCGTATTCATGGTTGTTTAATTTGTGTTTGTGTTGAGTTCTACATGACCATGTGCTTAACGAGAACGAAAGAACCCATAAAAAAACATAAATGAAAAAAATAAAAAATAGATTCACACCGAAATCTTGAGATGCTCAGATGGAGACCGGTGGACTCATCTAAGCCTCAAGGTTTGCCTTGCATGTGTTTCATGACTTCAACGTTGACAGCATCGTCCTTAATTTCAACCTAAAATCAGATTTTTTTCCCTCTCTCTTTCATATCAAATATTATCCCGAAATTTAAACTCGACCTTATTATGTTCAGTAACGGATCCAGAAATATTTTTAAGGTAGTCACACATAAGCTAACAACATAAAATTTTTAAATTAGATGGACACGAATAAAATTTTAAGATATACACTATCAATGAAATAGAAATTAATAGAAGAAAATTCAAATTTCAAGATGAATACGTGTTCACCCTTAATTATTTGTGGCTCATCACTTGCACGATTCGCACAAACAACCACCTAAAGTTCAAATATTAAATTAAGAAAAAATTGGTACTTTGTCTTAATTTAGTACTTGAATTTAAACCGCCCCCAAATTAAGACGAGTGTTAAATTTCCATACCACATTGATATAAAATATCTCATGATTAAGGATAAGTTCAAATACTAAATTAAATCATAAAAATCCTTTCAATATTAAATTAAAAAAATATAAAGTTCTCGTACCGAATATTCTATTAAGCCACTAATAAGCAGTATTTCTAAAACATTAGGGTCAGAGAGATGTGAAAACGTTCTAACCATTTATCATACAGGAAGCCCTTGTACCCATTTGCTTGACTAGGGTAAGCCACTTCGCCCGTCAAAATCAATCATAATATACATAAATAAAATTTTAAAATAAGCATAATTAATAAAATAAATAATTAAAAAATTGAATTTATTATTTATTCAAAATCCTTTTTACATTCATTACTGATAAATAATATTTTTTTAATTAAGCTAAGATGATTATAAAGTAATATCTATTTTAAATATATTCTAATCATTTGATAATGATCGTTCAATCACATTGTTGCAGCTGCTGGTATTCGAATTCGTGACCTATAGGAACAACAACAGTTCCTTTAACCACTGAGGGACTTCAAAAATTACCTGGATCTTCTAGTGTGTTCCCTATGGACAAAAATGTTTTCTCTGATTTATATAAAATACGATTTTCCATTATTTTTATTATGATTATTGGTTTTTAATCTCTGGTTTATGATTTCTGATTTATGACACAAGGTACAATTAGCACCTAATTTTTTATATTACTGTCTGCTATATGATCTGTTTTATTGGGGTACTGTCTGGAGACTTTGAGGTTCAGCCAGCTGGTAAATCCTTTATGTTCTGATCATTCATATTGGACTCCTAGATCCTAAGGGTCTATGGTAAGTCCTTATAGATGCTTGTTCTGGGGTACTGCATTTGGTGTACGGTTGAAGGGAAACTCTGTATTTTAAATAAAAACCCAACTTCTGATTTATGATATTATTGGTTCTATCTGAAACTGTTTTATGGGTATTGATTGGATATGATTCTGGAGTCTCTAAGGTTCAACTAGGTGGTAAATTTTTTCTATTCGGATCATTCATATTGGACTCTTAGATCCATAGGATTTAGGGTAAGTCCTTATGGATGATGTCCTGGTGAATTTCACATGGAGTATTCCGATGATAAGTATTACATTGATTTTAAAAACATGTTTTACTAAAATAAATTATTATTGTTTATAAACTATGATTTCATTTATTCTGATTTTGAGAGAACAAGGACGAAGATGGTTTCCTCTACATGACTTACAGCGACGAGAACACGTTCGGGATCATCGAGGAATACGATCAAGGGATGTCCGTGTGAGTATGGCTTGCAGAAAAATTATTTCTAAAACATTAGGGTCAGAGAGATGTGAAAACGATCTAAAAATTTATCATACAGGAAGCCCTTGTACCCATTTGCTTGACTAGGGTAAGCCACTTCGTCCACAAACGTCAAAATCAATCATAAAAAATAATTTTGAAAATAAATAGTATAAAAATTCTATTCACATACATAAATAAAATTTTAAAATAAGCATAACTAATAAAATAAAAAAATCATATAAAATTTTTTGAATTTATTATTTATTCAAAATCTTTTTTACATCCATTACTGATAAAGAATCATTTGACAATGATCGCTCAATCACATTGTTGTAGCTATTGGTGCTCGAATTCGTAACATATAGGAACAACAACGGTTCCTTTAACCATTGAGGTAAATTGATTCGTATATAAAGAACATTCTTTAACAGTTTCGGAATAATCGAAAACAATATTGAATTAATTATTTATAAATATAAATATATTTTTAATCGAATTTGATATTTATATTTTGAATTAGATTAGAGTTTAACAAGTGTGTTAATTCATGTAGGGACGAACATATGATTTTATGCAATAGGATGTGAATATAAGAAATATATTAGAAATTTACGAGTCGAAAGATATAAAATCTTACCGATTGTGAAATTATATCATCAGTAGAAAATATAAAGAAAATACTTAAATTATACAGGGATTTGAAACTTCTAAGATGCTATCGCATCCCAACATTCCTATTGGTCCATCCATGAATTCTTACGTAAATTCAAACCGAACGTGGCTCTACCTCTAAACATTAATGATTTAGGCTGATGTTTAATTAGCCTAATTAATTATTATTTAATATTATAATTCATTTTGGAATGGCAAGTGTTGGAAGACTGGTCCAATTTAAGTCTATAAATACCAAAGTATTTATCCCTCTCTTTATCTCAAATTATTATCATAATATCCACAATTTGCAGCCATTATTATCCTCCCTTCCACACCATGTTGTACCATTACATTATTTTGGTCGTAAACCATTTGAAATTGGCCTGGAACTTGTTGCTTAACCATTGCTTGTTCCCCAACACTCACACCATGCAGCCATTTCCACGGGTTCCCGCCATTAATGCCGGTCGGTTCGGTGTCGTTCGATACAACGGCAGCTTCGACAAAGACGAGGAAGTTACCTGTGCCGTTTGCCTTTGCAAAATCGAAGAAGACGACGAGGTCAGAGAGTTGATCCGTGACCATCTCTTTCACAGGGATTGCTTGGATAGATGGCTTGGTTGTAGCTACTCGTCGACTTGTCCCGTCTGTCGAACGTTGTTAACGCCGGGTAAACTAGTTGCCGGCGTCGAAGTTCTGGTGTTTAACTGTTTCAGGTTCGACTCCGACTGTCGCCGTGATAACTGGTGGCTGCGCTAAGCTTAGCTGAAACTTCCACTTCAAAATCCCCCCATTAGCTTTTAGTCGGAGGAGCTTTATTAGTACTAGGTACACCTCAATAAATGTGACCAAGCTAGTAATCCCCACAACTACTGTAAAAAGGCCGCATAATATATATATATATGGACAATCCGTTTTTCATTGGAAAAGAGTACGATTAAATTCGAGATTTGATGATGTTTTGACTGATTCAAAATTTTAGATAATATAATATTAAATCATCAATAAAATTGTCTAAATTATATAATAGTATAAAGTGTTTAAGAATATAACTGTCTCGTACTCCTTCAATCCATCCATGATTTAAAGTAAAAATTTTCCTCTTGTTAAATTTATAAATGTTATGATCTTCTATTACTTAAAAGCATGGTTATCAAAATCGGACCGGCCGGTTCAACCGGTTGAACCGTGAATCGATGGTCTGTCCGGTCCGGTTACCTCACAAAATCGGCCTGGCAATGAACCGGCTGAAAACAGGTAGAATCGGCTGAAAACCGGTAAAATCGAGGTGAACCGGCAAAACCGGTTTAAATCGCCGGTTCACTTTTTTTCTTTTAAAAAAAATTAAACCAAACAACGTCGTTTGTCAACGAGCCAAGTCAAATTCGAGTATTGCTGAGCTCGACTCGAACTCGAAAACTTTAAAAGTAAGCTCAACTCGACTCGACTCAAAAACTCACAAGCTAAAAATTATCAAGTTCAACTCGAACTCGAAATATAATATTAAAACTTGAACTCGAAAAGGCTCGAACTCAAAAAAAAATTAGAAGTTCGATTGAAGCCTAAAATTTGAGCTCAATTGAAGCGAAAGAATAGTTTGCTCTGTGCTCGCCAAAAGGCTCCATGATTTTGAATGTCAAATTACCTCTATTATTTATAGAAGTAAGTTGGGATGCTCTTCTATGTTTCTTAGCAATGTGAGATTGTTTTGTTATCATATTTTTACTCTTTAAACTTTTGGGATGCTCTTCTATGTTTCTTAGCCATGTGGGATTGTTTTTTTTAAATAAACCAAATGACATCATTTGTTATGATTTTTTAAGCCCTAGTTTTATTTTTTTGATTATAGTTATATAATTATATTTATTATTTAATATGTTTTACCTTAAATATTATGTTGTAGTTGATTTGAATCATTTTGTTTCACTTGGTTTTATAGTTTTTAATTTATATATGTTATGACTTGTGATATTTTTATACCTTTTAATATTGTAAACTTAAAAACAATGTTACATATATATTAATAATGCTTCGAATATTATGTAAAATTAAAAAAAATATATTATTTTATATAAAATCCGATTCATTCACGGTTGAATCCGGTTGAATCAGTGAACCAGTACCTTCACCGGTTCAATGTCCGGTCTGATTTTAAAAACATTAGTTAAAAGTATTGTCAATGCTCTTTTGGAGTAGAACTCAAGCTCCAACCTTATTGACACATTAAGTAATAAGTACAGAGTTAAAATTTTGATAATAACATTATTTCTCTAGTGTAAAAAGTATTAATTGAATAAATATTAGGGTAACCTACATTAGATACTATCGAACTTTTGAAGTATAAATTTAAAATTTGTATATGCTTATCATTTTAACGAATGAGCATGATCGAATACGAACAAGCTAAATTACTTAATGAACAAAAACAAACAAAAAATTTTTGTTCGTTTAGTTGTTCGTGTTCGTTCGTTTGTTCAGTTAAAGTTAAACAAAATAACATAAACATACACTCGTTCTTGTTCATTTGATTCGTTTACGAACCTAATAATAATGTTATTTCCCTCGTATAGAAAGTATTAAACATAAAAATGTTTATATAAATTTATACATAATTTTTTTTATCACTATATTTATTTTTTGGTATAATCATCGATATTCGATCCATTGATTGACTAATCCGTATTGGGTACTGTAGAGGCAATGATGACCCTCCCAACCCAATTTACTTCATTTTCAATTGCTAGGATTCGAACCTCTAACCTTACTTAAAGGATCTAGTGTCTCATCTCATTAGACCAACTGATTGTTGGTTTACCACTAAATTTTTAATCATTAGTCGAATCAATTTTTATAAATATATTTCATTGCATCATGATCATGAGATATAGATACTCAAAATTAAAGTTTTTGGATATATGACTTCAAATTTTGATAAATATTTTTACACGCCCCTGCTATAGAATAATTATATAATTTCAATTCTTACTCTTAATAATACATTTATTATGATGAAATCCATGATTTGACGATTATATTTACCTAATCTATTAATCTACGAATAACCATAATAATTCCATATCGACATTATCAGTTAAAGTCGTTATATATACCTTTTAATTAGGATTGAGAAGAGTTTTCCCCCTCTATCTCTTCCATAGGGATCCATATGTTTTCCTTATGCCTTCATCCATTTTAGAGGAAAATATCGACTATCGGTTATTATTTCACAAGTTTAAATTCTTTGTACAAACATCAAAGCCGATGCCGCCGCCGCCGACCACCATTTCTCGATCGTCTTGCGTGATCCCCCTTACATCCCATTAACCCTAATCACTTCCCTCTCGACTCTCACGCCGACTTTGACCGCATTGTCTTTGTTGCGGTCAATGTTGCATGCAAAGACTTGTTCCCATCTTTGCTCTAGTGTCATTTTGTAATACATTGATTTAGTTATTTGGTCTTTTGGTGTTCCATCTTTGATGGAAATGAAGGGACAGTACCACTTTCCGACGACAACGGGTTGCGAGTTCTTGCACGACGACGGGAAATCGAATTGCGGTAGCCGGGCTCGGAGGATGGCGTTGAGTCCCGGTGCTTCGCCTAAGGTGAAATTTCGTGGACTGGAGGTGCACGCTTGCCAGCCTTCTCTTTTTAAGAATCCTGGAGGGACACCATCCGGTGCAACTGACTTGGCGACGAAGCTACCTCGGCTCATCCGGCAGATCTCGAATTGTTGGTGTATGTTGTGGTGGTCCACCGGCTGAGGGGCGAACACTGGCAGAAACAGCATGTGTAGGCGTCTTACATTGTTGAATTTGTGAATGCTTCACTGCATAACCAAATCAAAAACCAAAAGAAAAGAAAAAGAATTGGATTGATTCAAATGAAAAAAAGGGTAAACTATCTATTTGGTCACCTACCTATTACTTGATTTCTGTTTTTTTAAACATACTTAAAGTTACATTTTAGTTCTGTTTTGCTCACTCACTATTAAAATATTAACGTTAATATTGACGTGTCATTACAAGCTAATATCGCATCAGCATTGAAAATTATTAAAAAATGTCAAGTCGACATCATTGTTAATTTTTTAACTACGTCTTTAGGATATAATTCATCTCGTGCAGATAATTCGCTGTTCATTTATACTGCTGATGCTATTGTGACTTAGGTTGCAGTTTATGTTGATGACATATTAGTTACAGAGTCTTCGAAAGTGCATATTCAAGGTGTTATAGATGGTTTGTATAATAAGTTCTCTAAGGATCTTGGTCTTGTGCATTATTTCTTGGGAATAGAAGTAGTTCACACTGCTGCTGGAATTTTCTTAATCAAAGGAAATATGTGGAAGAATTGCTGGAGAAGTACAACATGTTCTCTGCCAAGGCTGTAGATACACCCATTCCAGTTGCTCCAAAGTTAAGTAAGGTGGATGCTGGAACTTGTGTTGATGCTCAAAGGCATCGAAGTGCTGTTGGGGCGTTGTTGTATGTCTGTCACACGAGACCTGACATAGCGTTTGCCGTTCATAAAGTGGCGCAATTTATGCTACAACCCTGTGAGGCACACTGGACAGCAGTTAAACGCATTTTTCGTTATCTTAAAGGCACTTTAGACTTTGGTTTGTGCATTGCTCCTCAACATGGTCCTATCTCATTTCGAGCCTTCACTGATGCTGATTGGGAAAATGACCCAGATAACAGGCGCTCAATCTCGGGTTACTGCCTCTTTCTTGAAAATCATTTGGTGTTCTGGAATTCAAGGAAACAGAGGTCGGTGTCCAGGTCAACAGCTGAAGCAGAGTATAAGAGTCTTGCGGATGCCACTTCTGAAGTTGTTTGGACGAAATCTTTACCGGCTGATATGGGAGTTCGATTTGATCATCCTCCGACGATTTGGTGTGACAATACCAGCACCGTTGCTATGGTAGAGTAAAAGAATAAAATTTATTCTTTTAACCACTGAGAGAATTTTGGTCGTGTTATTGATATTTTAAAATATATAAATATAATATTTTAATTTTTTATTATTTACTTGAGTCGATGTTAACATGTATGTATATTTTTAGGGCATTATTCGTGTAATTTTTATGAGAAAACATATTTCTATCATATTTGGCTAGCAATGCGGATTTGAGAAAAACGATTCCCACGTAAGAGAAATTTTTTTTAGTTGACATTCTAAATAATTTAAATAGTATCTTATTAATTACTTAAAAATAACTATAAAAATTAAATTCCAATAATTAAATCAAATAATAAATATGGTTATCAATGGGATGGGCATGGTCGGATCGATTGGATTTTCGGTCCACTCTACTAAATTCGAAAATTATAAATCATCCACCTGACCTGAAAAATATATACCTTTCACCTAAAAATATTATTTTTATTCAATAAAAATAAGAATTTAGTTGAAAGAAAATAATATATAGATGGGTATATTGCAATTATCCCTAAATATATATGGTAAAATAATATTTTTTTTCGGGTCGGATATTTTTTACCCTAAATCTGAACCTGACCCAACCCGAACATAACCTTAAAAAATCCGATCCGAATCTAAATTTTTAAAAAAATCCAACCTAATTAGGTTAGGTCAAGTTAAAACTCGTCGGGTTCGGTTTCATGTCCATCCTTATCATTTGCATAAATACGGACGTTATTGGTATTAGGAAATCAACCTTCTCGTATTATTATAGTTACTTCACACCATATGATAAAATTATGGCAAAAAACAAGTGCTTTTAGAACATTTAAAAAATCAATAGATCACATATTTAATATGAAATCATCTACCGATAAATTCCCATAAATAAATGGGGATTTTGAATTAATTATTGATATTTGATCTATTGATTAATTAATTTAAATCGGGTACTATAGAGACAAAACCAATACTTATTGTCTCCTATAAATTAATCCTTTTATCCAACTTGTTTTAGAACATAACAACCACACCAAGTTCAGTGCAAAAGGTCAGAAAAAAAATCATGAAGAAGTCAATTGCCTTTGCCTTGTGCTTTTGCTAGCTTAGTTCTCTCCTTCTCTTTCCCAAGGTATTCTCTTATACATGTATTAATTCTAAAACAAATTAAAGGCCAAATTCAATGGATTCATGTCACTGTGATTAATGAGATTTGGTAATTTTTGCAGGTGCCCGATTGAGGTAACAATTGATGGACCTCCATGTGGCGAAAATGGCAAGTGGGACTGTCTTCAACTGATGATTCAAAGGTTTGGGGCTGCATCAAATCCCAACACATGTTCTTGTACCACTTTGCCAAATCTTCAACGCACCTGTGATTGCATTAAGCTTTGTTAAAACTAAATTAGTGCTTGTAATAGTTCTCTTAGTCATATGCTTTGCTCTAATTTAGTTAGTTTAAAATAATATCATCTGTCTGCTTTCAAATAAACTATGCATTTGTCATTAGGGAAATATTTCCACCATCGATATCGTTTGGTTTGTGCTAATAACCCGAATTTGTTGGTATAAAAGTGTTCCGATGTTGTTAATTTTAACAATATTTTTTTGAATAGTATAGGTTAGGGTTGAGCACCGTAATTGAAAAGATTGAAAATTTGATCGAGACAAATTATGTGGTTCAATTTGATTTGAATTAAACTAAACCGTAAAATTAAACTAAACCGAAAATCATAATTTTTATATTTTTTTTGTTTTAATTTCCAAAAAAAAGCCGTAAAATGTGGTTTTGTCCATCTTTTATTGGAAAACTGAATCATACCGAATCGAATACACCCTAGTCTGGACAATGTAGTATTTGTTCAGAATATTTCTTAGACATTTACAATGTGTACATACTATGTAGACATAATTGTTTGAATCTAAAACTTTTAGGGAAAATAACACTTCCTCGACTATCATGCACTCGATGAATTCTTGTATTATTAAATTTAAAATCTAAGACTAATAGCAAATTAAATGAAAAAAAAATGTAATTCATGAGATGAATTTAACAATTTTTTTAATTAAAAAAAAACAGTTGCGAAATCTACTCAAAACTCTTCAAGTAATAAAAGGTTCTCAAAGATAGACTCCGTTATAAAATGAAAAAAGAAACAAAATAATAAAATTACTGGAGTATCCCTAGAAAACGGAAGGCTTAAGAAAAACCCTCACACGTCTACCCTATATATATTGGACCCCTCCCAAGCACAAAATCATATCTTCATACGTCAGAAGTTTTCTGAAAACCTTTCATAATATTCCGTAGCCTTTTCCTTTCTTTGCTTTCGTTGCCGTGTAAGTATTTCTTTTTTTCCTCTGCTACTTTTGATGATTCGATGATAATGTTCTTTGAATACAAGAGAATCATCGATTCTCTCTCTTGATTTTCACATTGTTTTTATCGATTCTGTTTTCGCGTTTGTTATTAGGATCTGAGCAGAGGTTGATCGTCGAGGTTTTTATCATCAGTTGATCCTGGCATTCTTATTTTTGAATCGTGAGTATCGGTTTCCGATCTTTTTATGATGCGATTTATGATTTTTTATTGTTGCTGTTGTTATTGTGTAGGAGATGAATTACCTTCGCAAACGATAATAAATTAATAATATTAAAGGATGTGATTTTGCTTTTATCAAATAAAAATTAGTATAGGTTAAATTAGAAAATAACAATATTCTATTTATTTATCTGGATGAATAAGATTGTTATATTTGTTCTTGTGCATCTTGTACTCTCTATTTTTATATTATTAATTTTAAAGAATCTTGGATGGTAGCGTCTATTGCTTTTTCTTTTCTTTTCTTTTTTTGGAAGAAAGGCAATCGTTTTATTTTTTGGTTAATTTTTATGATATCTGAGGTTGGAGCGTAATTATGCTGTGATTTTCTATCTAGATACCTGAATACGTCATATATATTGTTTCATGATTTCCTGTATGCTCGAAATTATGTTTTGCTTCATGATTTTCTCGATGCTTGAATGCATATATAATTCATGATTATTATTATTTTTGAAGTCTGATTGTTTCTGTTAAAGAATTATTTCTTGATTTTCCTTATTTACGTGTTGAATCTATATGTTCTGTTTTTTTCATGGTGATTTAGGTGTGACTGAATGATCCATGGAGTCTAAAGGCGGGAAAAAGAAGTCTAGTAGTAGTACGGCCTTAGTCTACGAAGCTCCTCTCGGTTACATCATTGAAGACGTCCGACCAAACGGTGGTATTAAGAAGTTCAGATCTGCTGCTTACTCCAACGTAAGTACTTGGCGTATCTTCGAATTTTTCTGATCATGGAGAAGGCAATTGGATTTCAATGGCGTGAATTGTTTGATAATGATCTTTTGTTTTCCTTGTTTTTTGCAGTGCGCTCGCAAGCCATCCTGATATTCCTTTCTGAAGTTTACCCTTACTGACCACTGTTAGTGGTCTATTTATTTTATTGCTTTTACTAGTTAGTTATTAGATTTATTTCTTTGGCCGTCTTCCTCCTCCACTCTCCTTGTGTCTGTTTCCTTTGCAAAAGTGATTCTGAGAAAATCTGCTGCTGTTATTGTGCTCCATTGTCACAATGGCGGTTTCTGCGATCGGATTCGAAGGTTACGAAAAGAGGCTTGAGATTTCCTTCTTTGAGCCTGATTCTGTTATTGATGTCGAACGAAAGAGTCTTCGATCTTTGTCGAGAGAGCAGCTGGATGAGATTCTAACCCCAGCTGAGTGCACCATTGTTTCTTCGCTATCGAACGAACTTGTGGACTCCTATGTCCTTTCTGAGTCGAGCCTCTTTGTCTATCCTTTCAAGATCATCATCAAAACCTGTGGCACAACGAAGCTACTTCTAGCAATCCCACCTATCTTGAAGTTGGCTGGCAGCCTTTCGCTTACCGTCAAATCTGTTCGGTACACTCGTGGAAGCTTCATCTTCCCTGCTGCTCAGCCGTATCCTCATCGGTACTTCACTGAAGAAGTTGCGATTCTCGATAGCTATTTCGGGAAGCTTTCTGGTAGCAGAGCTTGTGTAATGGGTGGGAGCGATGAAAAACAGAAATGGCATGTTTACTCTGCCTCTGCTGAATCTGTTAACAACACCAATTCCCCAACTTACACTCTAGAGATGTGCATGACTGGCTTGGACAGCGAAATGGCTTCAGTTTTCTACAAAGACCAATCGAACTCGGCTGCTTCGATGACTATTACTTCTGGCATAAGGAACATCCTTCCAGACTCTGATATATGCGATTTCGAGTTTGAACCCTGCGGTTACTCAATGAATTCAATAGAATCCGATGCCATTTCGACCATTCACGTTACACCCGAAGACGGGTTTAGCTACGCAAGCTTTGAATCCGTCGGCTATGATCTGAATAAATTGAACCTGAACCAATTGGTGGATAGAGTGTTGGTCTGCTTTGAACCAAGTGAATTCTCTGTTGCTGTTCACGTCGATGGCGACGCCGGTCCCCTCTCGAGAAAATATGTTCGTTGAATATAAAGGATACCGTTGCGGGGAGAGGAGCATCGAAGAGCTCGGTACTGGGGGTTCCATCATTTACCAGAAGTTCAACGCCATCGGTATTTGTGGATCACCTAGATCAACTCTGAGATGCCGCTGGGAAGAGGAAGAACTATTAATAACGGCTTAATTCCAATAATATAGTATTACGCTTGCTTATAATAACTAAATAAATTGCTTCTCAAGGCACTGCCTGGTGAGATAGCACGGTGTTTTCGTGTTTTACCGAGTCTTTTGCCATGCTGTGGCAACCTGAGACTTGCTACTGTCATCTGTAGGCAGATTATGGGAGCTTCTCCTCTTGCTTTTATATAATATGAAATAAATATGGGTACTTTACTATAATATTCTTATGCTTACAGTATGTATTAGTACTCGGATTTGGTTCAACCAATGATTATCAAATTTTGCACGGGTTGGCCAAATTTTCGGTGTTGATTGGTAAATGGTTTTGATTAGAGAGTGGATGGGTTATTGCGTGTTTAGGGGAGATTCGAGTTATCGAAAAGGCAAGCTGGCTAACTTTGACGAGCGGCGACAAAGGAGAATTAAAAGGTGTTATGAAAATGTAGCCTTTCTAATTGATATCCATAAAACAAATCTTAGGATCTGATGATGTCTGCCGGCCATTGAAATACATGAAAAATAAGCTTTGTTATTGAGCAACAATTAGGGACTGAGTTTTTAACCCATGTGAATTCGATATATATATATATATATATATATATATTCGAATTCAAAATATTTCACTTGATATGAATTATGATTTATTTTTACGGTAAATTCATATTTAAAAGATTCAACTCAACAATATACATATGAAAAAATTATTTTGTTTGGTGAGATAGGATCTATTAAAATAGGTACATAGAAGAGATCGATTAAAAAATATAGAGAGAGAGAGATCAGTTTAAAAAAAGTACAAATATTTTTTTTAATTTGTTAATTGAGTCTTGGTATTGGAATTTAGAGATTGTATCTTAAAATTAATCAGTTAGTATTGTTGGTAATTTTGATTTGACCAATTATTATAAGTAGTGATGATACTTTTAGTATATATTATTATGTCTTTGTTTATAAAATTTTTATTTTATAAATAATTAAAAGAAACATGGAAAATATACTTCTGTTTGTAGAAATTATAATATATTTTTCGTCGTTAGCTCTGAAAAATAGCTTAATGTATCTTTTGGCTTCTGACTTAAACTTTAATAAACAATTTGGCCCCTTAACTTTTTTTTTGTAATTTGCCCCCTGACTCTTTTCTGATACAATTTAACCACTAATTTGGCTTTAATTGCAGTTTGGCCCCTTTTTTTGAAATCCATGGAGCATTAGGTTCCCTCCTTTTCAGTGTAGTTTTGAATCACTACTTCAAAGTTCATCCAGTACTGCACCTGTGTTTTTACATTTGCCGACCGTCAGTGTCTGAACACCGGAGGAATCGAAGACATTGATGTTTTGTCTATGCCGGGGTGTGATCGACTGCTTTGATCAACAGGCTTTAAGCATGAAGGTAACTCCTTGAAAAAGCTCACAATGTCGTTTTGACCCCTTTGGTTTTGAATGTTCAAAGTTGCCTGAGTTCGGACCAATATTGTCACCACCCCCAATGTGCCATAATCTAAAATTATGTTACACTGGATGTTGAGTAATTATTTCGGTTGTTGAACTTTTGAAAGATATAAATGGTCATTAAATTATTGAATTGTTATAAAATGGTCACCACGGCGTTATAATAATTGTAAAAAGTCCTTTTGTACTGGGTTCAAATAATTTTAAGGATCAGTTTGTAATAATTTGATAAAATTAAAGATCATTTTATAATCATTCGATGACGATGACTTTAATGTTCGCTTTGTAATTTTAAACTTTAGTGACCGAAACAATCACCCTAAATCCGAACAAGATCCTTTCAGACAACGAAATCTGTAACCTTTCTTTTTGATTTTGAAGCAACATCGTCCCTTTTTTAAAAGACGCACCTAAATCGCATCAAATAAAAAAAAAGACTTTTAACAAAGTTGCTTCACAATTCAATTCCCCCTCGGCAAAAATTTTTTGACGTAAGAAGTTTCTATATTTCATTGTCGACAGTTGTGTTCCACATCAGATAAATCTCCAATATCCACCAAGGTTTTAGGCGTAAATGGTGACTAGGGCCGTAAACGAGTCGACTTTGAGTATTGCTAAGTTCGATTTGATTATAAAACTTTAAAATGAAATTTGACTCTGTTCGAACACTTACGAGTCTAAAATTTTTAAACTTGACTTGAATTCGAAATCATGATTTGAAGCTCATAAAAATTTGAAAAAGATCGAAATGGGGAAAAAAAATTTAAACTTAACTCGATTGAAGCATCAAACTCAAACTCGAATATGAAACTTAATTACATTAAAAGCTTATATCAATTTAAAAAAAATAAACACATAAATATTAATATTATTAATAATTTATTTTTAAAAACAAAATCTTAATATATTAAATTATATTTTCGAGTTGGTGACGAGCTTTTCGAATCAAATATCAAGTTGTTCGTTTTGACTCGTTAAGAACTCGAATTAAGTATTTATCGAATTTTGATCGAGTTGATCTCGAATAATTCATGATCTATATCGTCTCATTCACACTCTTAATAGTAACAGTTCCACTTCCATTATTTTTGTCTGCAAAATCAAAATTTGATAATAAATCCGATATCAACTCGACTTTAGATATAATCAGAACTCATACGACTATCGTATATCCAACATCTAATGCCAAAACATGGTGAGATAAATACCCCACCAGGTGCAGTACTTCTAGGATTCTGTTTGAGAGCGGAGATCTTTGTTTTCTATCAATTTGTTTGCATTGCCAATATATATTATATATATATATATATATATATATATATATATATAATTGCTTTATGAGTGAGTTATTTTTGTCTGCTTTTGGTTCTTTTCCTAATGCATCTAAAACAGGTGCAATCAAATCATTGTAAACAGTGGTTCTTCAGACAAGACATCCTCCTGTAAAGGAATTAAACAGCAAAAAATGTTTGGGTTAATCTCTTTCAAAGTCCCCAAACTATCTTTCCTATTTAGAATTGGTGTTTAGATTTTAAAATATTCAAATTGATTTTAAAGTATCTTATTTTATCAGTCGTGTCCTCTCATCAACATAATCATAAGGAACGGAGCCACCAAGAGTTTAATAGAGGCTGTACCTTTAAATTTTATAGTATGATAACAATTTAGTTCATTTTCAATTTAGTATTTTAATTTTTATATTTAAATACTTAATAAGTCCTTGTTCTTTTGATGTAAAGCAATTTAGTATCTCTTGATATTTAATTCTAGACTCGTTCATGATAACCGTCAATTTCTAACAGTATTTATCAATCCAAACTTGACATAAAACATATTCAAAATATGTAGATTAAACTATAAACATTTACGTACTTATCGTATTGACTGTTTAGATCTAAAATGTTACACAAAATATAGTATCAATGTAATTTAGGAGGTTTCTTACGCGTCAAATCCAAGTTGACATGCAATAAGTACACATGACCCGCATATGTTAACTATACTTGCATCAAATGTGAGCATGCATTAGAATTCCGATATTT